CTGTTCTGCCTGAGCTACAAATTCTTAAAGATACAATTAGAAACAGATCTCTATCGCTTCTCAGCCTTTTGGCTAAGATCAAGTGTAGAAACAGATCTCTTTTCTAACTCAGGACTGCTCCTTTAAAATAACAAAAAAATAATAATTTCTTATTGTTATTTATGAGAAAAGCTGCTATGAACAATCACATTCAAAACATGGGTTTGTACATATTTTCATTTGAGGTTGAAGTGATGTTGAAATAGCTAAGAATGGAATTGCTGGTTAATATGGTCAGGTATATTGAACTTCATTGTAGACTACCATTCTGTTTTCCAAAGTGACATTTACATTTCCTTGAGGATTCCAGTTTCTTCTCACCAATTTTAATATTATTAGTTATTTTTATAATAGCCATCCTGATGTGTATGCTGAGCAAATTACATGAAAAACTGGATTCTGTGAAGAAGAATGTGGCATTAGGATTAGAGAAACCTATATCAATAACCGTCCTTATGCTGATAACACAACCTTGTTTGCTGAACCTGAGAAGGCTTAAAACATTTGCTGCAGAAGATAAAACACTGTAGCTTTCTATATGGATTGTATCTCAACATTAAGAAAACAAAAATTCTCACCACTAGGCCAATAAGTGATATCAGAATAGGAGGAGAAAAGATTAAAACCGTCAATGACTTCATGCTCCTTGGATCCACAATCAGTATACTTGGTACTAGCAGTCAGAAGAGTGGGAAAGTCTTCTATCAGGAACTAATCCAAATTACGGAGGAGCAGTAATGCTAATTTGAGGACTAAGGTATGCCTGATTTAGATAATGGTGTATTCAGCCACCTAGTATGCTGCTGGAACAGCATAATGACTAAAGATGATAGAAGAAAAATTGATGCCTTTGAACTGTGGTATTGGAGAAAAATACTGAATATCTCATAGACTTCCAAATGAACCCCCGATATGTCTTGGAGAAGGTGCAGCCAGAGTACTTCTTGGAGGCAGGGATGGCAAAGCTTCATCTTGCATGATTTGAACATGTTGCTAGGAGAGGCTGCTCCTTAGAGAAGGATATCGTACTTGCAAAGATGGTGGGGCTGAATGAGAGGAAGACCCTCAACCAGGTGCTTTGACACCATGAATGCAGCAGTGGGCTTAATTGTGTTAAGAGATAGTTAAGATGGCACAGGATAGGACAGGGTTCAGAGCTGTTCATAGGGTCATTATGAGTGATACTTGACTATTCCAACGACAATAACAGTGTGCATATGTATAGTCCTAGAACATTAGCGTCTCAAGTTGGAAAATACTCAAGATATGACGCTTCTTAAAAATATTGTTTACCTTCTGAGTAGTGTAAATCTTTTAGCCAATGAAGAATCTGAATTTGCTGATATAACACAACTCTAAATGAAGAAAAATAGCTTAAAACATCTATTTAATAATTAGAACATAGAATGGACAATGTGTGAGTATAGGAAAATTAGAAGTTGTCTGAAATGAAATGGAATGTATAAAAATTTATTTCCTTGGTATTAGTGAGCTGAAATCAACTGATAACAGCCATTTTGAGCCAGACAGTCATATGGTCTACTCTCCCGGGAATAATTGATTGAAAAGAACAGCATTATATTCAACATAAAAAAAAGAATATACTCCCAGTGATAGCGTAGTATCCTTACAAGGAGACTCTGTTAAACATGATTATTACTCATATTTACGTACTAACTGCTAAACTCAATCATGCAGAAATTGATAATTTCTACCAATTCTGCAGTCTGAAATTGATCAAATATGCAATCAAAGTCCATTGATAATTATTGGTGCTTGTAATACAAAATTTTGAAATAAGGTTTGGTGCTTGGAAAAACCTGACCTTGTTAAAGAAGTAGAATTGAGAAACAAGATATTCCATAATATAATTTTCATAAATAAGTTATTCTTTGCAATTTTTTTTTAAGTAAAGAAGACATAACTTATGACTGTACACACAGACCTCACCAGATGGAATACACAGGAATCAAATAGAGTACTTTGTGGAAAGAGATAATGGAGAAGCTCAATATCACCTGTCAGAACAAGGCCAGATGCCAACTGTAGAACAGACCATCAATTGTTTATTTGTAAGTTCATTTTAAAGCTAAAGAAAATGCAAACAAATCCAAAAGAATCACTATATGACTATATATATCTCCCAACTAAATTTTTACCTCATTGCAAGTTTAAACTCATATATCGAGCAAAAGACCCATAGAATTGTGGAATGATATTAAGGATATCATACATAAGAAAGGAAACCATCATTAAAAAGGAAAGAAAGAAAGAGAGAGAGAGAGAGAGAGAGAGAGAGAGAGAGAGAGAGAGACAAAATGAGTGTCAGAAGAAATGCTGAAACTTTCCCATAATCTAGAGAAGTAAAATAGAAGTTAGAGAACTAAACAGACTTCAAAGGACAGCTTAAGAAGGTAAAGCAGACTATTACAATGAAATATTAAAAGGCCTAGCATTGTTGTTGTTATGTGCCATCAAGTCGCTTGTGACTCATTAGCGGCACTATGTATAACAGCCCTGAAACCTGACCAACTTTATTGTCTCAGATACACCTAACCTCATTACCCCAGTCACTGTATCAGTCCATCTCATCAATGGTCTTCCTCTCGTTCTCCATCCCTCCACCCTTCCAAGCATGATGTACCTCTCCAAGGACCAGACCCTCCTTGCAGTATGCCCAAAGTATGATAGACAAAGCCTTAGAATCCTTGCTTCCAAGGAGCAAGCTGGTTTCATGCTCTCTAGGATGAACCTGTTTGCTCTCCTTGCAGTCCATGGTATATTCAAAACTCTTCTCCAGCACCACGGCTCAAAAGCATCAATTCTGCTTCTATCATCCTAGTCATTGTCCAGCTTTCTGATGCATAGCAAGCAGTTGCAAATACTATGGCCTGGATCCAGCCTGAAACTGTTAGTCTCCAGCCTGAAACTGTTGCTCCTCAGTACTTTGGAGAGATCTCTGACAGCCAGTGCAATTAGTCTCTTGATTTCCTGGCTGCTGGTAGCAAGAGTATTGATTGTAGAGCCAAGCAAACTAAAATTGTTAACAATCTCTTTATCTCTTCACCATCCATAATGATGCTGCCACTTGGCCCAGTGGTGGGAATTTTTGTTTTCTTGCTGTTGAGCTTCAATCCGTATTGAAGGCTGCAGTCCTCAGTCTTCTGCAGCAAGCACTTCAGGTCTTCCTCAGTTTCAGTAAGTAGGGTTGTATCATCTACATAATGCAGGTTGTTGAATCTTCCTCCAATACTGATGCCACAATCCACTTCACAGTGCCCAGCGTCCTGTATAACTTGTTCTTCAGATAGATTGTAAATGTTTGGAGATCGAATACATCCCTGGTGTACACCCTTTCTGATTTTGAACCATGCATTAGAAAACCAAAAAGCAGTAATTATGATCACCATTTCTTAAGCTGAAAGAACTGAAAGTGCTAAAGAATCAGAATGCCATTTTGAGAACTAAGATATACTTCACCCAAACCATGGTATTTTTGCATATATGTGAAAGTTCAGTGACAAATGAGGAAGACTTTCATAGAATTGATGCCTTTGAAAAGTATTGCCAAAGATTATGGACTGTCTGAACAAACCTATCTGTTTAAGAAACTAAAATGTTTGATGAGGTGTGGAAGACAAGACTTTGGGTATGTTATCAGGAAAGGGCTAATCGCTGAAGAAGGACATCATGCTTGATAGAAAGCAAAAAAGAGGAACACTCTCAGTGTGATGGGTTGACACATTCGCTCTGACTGTGGACTCAAGCATCATAGGGGATGTGAGGATGGCTGAGGACTAGACATTTGCTTGTTCTGTTGTACATACATACAGTTGCTATGAGTCAAAACCAACTTACAGCACCTAATAATATGGTGTGTACAAGAATCTCTGTAGTTTTGGTTTGAACTTGTTTGATTGCTAGTAATACTGACTTTTAAAAAATATTGGTCATTTATATATCTTCTCTTGTAAAGTCTGTGAATAAGTTTCCTACCTGTTTTTTTATTATATTGCTCATCTCATTAGTTAATTTTAAGAGTTCTTTCTATATTACATATACACTTTATCAAATGTTTTATAAATGTTTATTCATATTTAAATTTATTTATTTTGAACAGCAATAGTTTTCATTTTAATAATGTTTATTAATTATCAAATTTTTATTTTATAATTATACTTTTTATATTTTCTTTTTCAGTATTTTTCAATATTTATGCTTTTTTACTTGTTTTTCTTGATTTATGACAAGGGCTCAGAAAATACCTAGTAAATATGATAAGAATAGTTAGTTTTTAGCAGGAGTCAAAATATAAAATATTCATTAAAAAATGGTAAGGGCGGCTAAATTTCATCTCATATGCATGGAATATCAAGAGTGGTCAATTCTTGGGAAAACACATTATGCTGTGAAAGGTGGGAAGGGAGAATGTAAGGATGGCAAAATAGGGCAGAGTTCTGATGTGTTTTCTATAGTGTCACAATGAGTTGCAGTTTACTTGGTGGCACTTAACAATGATGACATGGCATTGTCAATGTTCACACTACAATTCAGAGTCATCTCTTCTTCCTTGGTCTTCCTAATTCATTGTCTAACTTACTTGTGCTTATGAAACAATTGAAAATATCATGCCTAGTAATTGTTGATTGCCTTCGAGTCTAGCAAGACTCATAGCCACCCTAAGGCACAACTTGCAGTTTCAACTGACATCTCTGTAGTACTTTAAAGAGATCCGTGACAGCAGATTTGTCCAATGCAATATGTTGTTTGGTTTCTTGACTGCTGCTTAATTGAATGTTGATTATGAATCCAAGTAAAATGTAATCCTTGAAAAAAAAAATAGCTATAGCACATTGTTGTCTATTATGCAACCTAATTGTTTAATTGTATCTTAAAAATATGGAGTGCTTTCTTTCATCATCAGAAAAGTGTTTTTAATTCTTTGTTTTTCCTAATTTTAGGTAATTGACCTGGGTTCTGGTAAAGGATACTTAGGCTCCTTTTTGTCTTTGAAATATGGCTTAAAAGTTTATGGAATTGATTCCTCAAATGTCAATACTCACGGAGCTGAGAACAGAAATAGGAAATTGAAGAAACATTGGAGAGTTTATCATACTCGGTCAAGGTTAAATGTCGGTGGACTTCCGTTAAATATGGCAAAAGAAAGGAAGGCTCGAGATGAAAATAAATATGAAGCAGATACAGAGAATAAGTGTAACAACAGTGCTGTAAGTCAAGATACATCTCCTTTGGGTCTTTTGCCAGATTTTTCAGACTCTGTAATTCCTAGTATCAGAAAAGAAATGGAAAGCCTGTATTCTCAACCACAACAAGAAGAAAATGTGTGTTTTGAAAATTTTTTTCCTTTAATAGACGTTTTACCTGTTAATGCTGTAGAACCTACTTCATCTCACATATCTAAAAGAGATGTTGCTGAAGCAAAGAAAGAAAGAAGGAAAACAACATCAAAGTCAAGTGAATCAAGCATATATTCACCTTTGACGTCCTTTATCACTGCTGATTCAGACCTGCATGTCCTTATTAAAGATCTGGAGGTAATTTCCCTTTTGAATTCCTAAATTTGTTTTACAAAAATGCTTTAAGACATAGACATAGAATTAAACTTTAATAATAATCCAGATAGCCTATATATATTAATTATGGTAATCTAAAAGACCAAGAAAATGAAATCTCAATCATGCTTTTGTGATTTGGAAAGCTGTCAGAACCTGGCAAGGGCACATTCACGAATAGAATGTTCTCCACTCATGTCAGGCCAGTGAGTCAAAAACAAGTGCTAGTACAGAAGTTAGTAAGTTAATCATGCAACGTAAGTATTGTTAAAATTGCAACTTAAGAAATCTCTAATTTAAATTTGACATTACAATATATTTAAGACAAAATTATGTTTAATGTAATCATTGGTAAGCAAATATATAATTTTTGTGCATAAAAAATAACATCTAAGTATTTTTTAAGGATTGCTCTTTTATTTATAAACATGTCAAGTTCTACCAATGAAAAACAATATGTCTTAGAAACTACATTGTATTGAAAAAAATATTATAGAAGAAACTTCCATAGGTAATTTGGCCTAACTCATTTTTCTGGACCAACTAGAAAGCCTTGTGATATTATACTTTTGTTAACTTTTTCATAAATTCTTCCTCAGGGAGATGAATAAACAAAAAAATATCAGAAATCTTCATAAATCCAGATTCTCTTTTGGTAGCTGAATTATTTTTTAATGGAGGCTTATTCTGTTTCCCAGATAATTTTTTTCATTTCACTGATTAATTACCATTAAACTTTATATGTGTGTGTATGTGTATAAAATACATTTTACATTAATTTTATCTTAAGTTAAAGTAATTAAGATTGTTAAAACCTAACTTAAGCATGTATGCTTCATGCTTTTACTTATTTTTTTTGTTTTCTTTTATATTGGTTTGCATACAAAGTTTGTATACATTGTGTTTCACACTTTCCATCATTCACATAGAGTTTCATACAGTCATTACCATACATTGTGTTTTATAAACTTAATCACCTCTGAGCTATGCCCACCATTATGCCATCTTTTCAGGTCCTCACTGCACTATTTTACAGTTTCTAAAAATCTTGTTAGAAAGCATATCATCAAAACTCTGCAAATTCTTGTAAGATCTAACCTTTTAAAACTAACCTACTAGCATTTCAGTCCTAAAGTCCAGTGGTTTTAATTCACCAGCTGCTTTATGGAAGAAGGATTGGCAGTCTCCCCCCGTGTGATTTACTGCCTCTGAAAACTTGCTGGAGGGTCAGCTATGAGTCCGTTCCAACTGTATGGCACACAACAAACAACAAGATGAGATATAATCCAAGGATGTTTCTATACTGAATCTACAATTATTTAAACCAAGTTAAGCAACACCTCCTGCATATATGGAATACTTATCTTTTAGAATAATAAATAGCGGTTGTTTTTGGTTCTTTTTTCCTTCCAATTGTTCTATGGGAAGAAGATGGGCAGTTTTCTCCAGTGTGATTTTCTGCCTCTGAAAACCCACGAGGGTTAGATATGGGTCACTTCTGACTCAGTAACACATAATAACAACACTGTCATCTAGTCCCTGAGTGGGGCAGCTGGTTGATGGCTGAGTGATTTGAACCTACATATAGAAGCCTAGAAAGCTTTAGTAATACACCTTTTAAAGACCATAGCTGTGAAAGCCCTACAAGTCAAGTTCTGCTCTGTGGCACTTGGCATCAACTCCAAGGCACTGGTTTGGTTTGACTTATTCTGCTACCTGTTAATATTAAGTTCTCATATGTGATGAGTACAGTAAAGGATGTGATGAAACATTGTGACTTCTCTTTGGAGAGAGCCAGATAAGTTTAAGAGCCCTCTTGGGCTAGAGTATTACATGGTGGATTGCTGCCTACAAGGCTGACTGTTACACATTACTAGTTGTTTCACAGGAAGAAGATAGTCTCCTCCTATGAAGATTTGCAGCTTTAGAAACCTGATGGAGGCCCATCAGGAACTGGAATAGCATCACTAGCAGTGGGTCTAACAATTTGTTAGCAGTAGGTCTTATATTTTCATTGAAGGCTAGATTTTTTTTTGGGGGGGGCTTTTTTTTTAATTTAGGTTGTTTATTTTTCATTTCA